TTTAAAGGAAATAGTTTCCCTTAATCAAGTGCCCAAAGAGTATGTTCGGAAAAGGAGGAGATGAGGAGACGAGGAGATGATGTGGCATAGGTGGGGTCACCCTTTGAAAAGAGAAAGAATTGAAAACGTCCCAAATGTTCCTCCGTCTGCAATTTAACGATAAACCAACAGTTGGTTACCCCTAAAATGGACGGAGGGACGACATTAATATGGTTTTGAATAGTAGAGGGACTTTTCCTGAAGTGAATCGATAGTATAAAGGTTTCAATTCAATAATAAACAAAGGGACAGTAGTTGGGATTTTATTTCTGAATTTGAAGAGCGGAGGCGAATAGTGGCACATTCTGAGATAAGTGTTCAGTATTGCGCTGGAAACTGCAACCTCAGCCAGCCTCAGTGTCAGAAAAGAGAATAGCCACTCTGCAAGGTTCATCGACCAAGCAATTCATCGAGAATGGCAAGTTTTGTGAAAGAATTAACGAGAACAGATGTTGAATCCATGTTGGTAATCCCAGTTGCTTTCATGAACAACATGCCACAGGTTCAAGGAGGACACTTCACAAATGTAACGGTATCAGATGCAGGTGGGAGAGAATGGAATTTCGGATACTACGTCCGAGCGAACCAAAACCCGCGGCCTGTTCTGAAATCAGGGTGGTGCCACTATGTCCGTGAGAAAGGACTGAGAGTTGATGACATAATCATATTTCAGCGTCTGGAAGGCTTCCCAGTGCGTTACAGGATTGGAGCAACAAGAAGAGTAACTATACTTGGTCAGGAGGTATGGACTGAGGAATTCTAATTAAGTACACCATGCTATATGTATAATGTTTTGAAGCAAAACTCGTATGCTTTCTGGTCCTATGTATTGTTTGGTGTTTTCCTCTTCCATGTCCTGTTGGTGTTTTCCTTTTCCTTTTCTTTTTCCATGGGTGTTTTCCGTTTCTAGTATTATGGATGATGGACACTATGTTACATGTATGATGTTTTATGTAGTCGAGGTGTTCTGAAGGACACTATGTTATATATATGATGTTTTATGTATTCGAGGTGTTCTATTTTCATGGTTTTCAACTTTGAATTGTTTGAGAAACTTACTGTCATTGTGTTTGGGTTTAATTTGGATGTAAGAGTACTTACTGTTTTCATCATTCACTCAAGAACAATCATAATTGTTCATGGAAGAAAAGAGAAATGGATCTAGCTAGTCTTTTTCTTCATCTTCTCATGGACTCCAATCAACTCATAAAATTAGGAAACTTGGTCGGTCGTGCCCGGGAGCACCCCTTGAAATTTTAAAAATCTGTTTTGCTGCTTTGTTTAGTGCGATTCATTGAAAAAAAAAGAAGGCTCTGCTTATGTTCTAAATCTGGAAAACAGAGCGAGCATTGTGCAGAAGAAAAATGGGGAAGAAGACAGGAGCATGTTTGTAAATATGAGGCCAAAGTATTTCTTTAATCCCTTAACTTAATAAATTTGAAAGATTTATTCGCTCAACTTATATTATAAAGTTTTTAGTCCTAAACTTAGAGATTTGAAAATTTTAACTCTTAAACTAACAAAATCATTAACCCTCCATTAAGATGAGAATAAAATATTTATAAAATTAACCTTTAAAGATTACAAATATAAGAATTTAATTTTTAAAGTTTAAAAATTAAAAGAATTATTAAGCTAAAAATAATTAGTGGATATCTTTACCACATAAAAGAGAATAATATTAGATATCTATAATAAATCAAGCAATTAACTCAATTTGAAGAAAGAATTTTGATTAAGATTAAAGAAAATTTCTTAATTGAATTAAGACAAAAAATCTAAAATACTAGAAAAATACAAAAAAAAATTTTCTTTAATCTCAATTAGATTTTTTTATTTAGATGGAGCTAATCACTTGATTTAATTATAAATATCTAATACTATTTTCATATATGTAACAAAGACATCCACTAATTATTTTTTATTTACTATTTTTTTATTTTTAAACTTTGAGATTAAATTATTGTATTTTTAATCTTTAAGAACTAATTTTATATACAAATATTTTATTCTCACTTTGACGAACAGTTAACAAAATATTTAAATTTAAAGGGTAAAAACTTCATAATATAAAGTAAAAGACTAAAACTTTCAAATTTATTAAGATGAGGGACTAAAAGGAACTAGAGGTATACTTTAGGAGTCTTAGGATTCATAATTATGGGGTAGATATTTAATTCCGGAAATATAACTACTCTACCTTATATTATACAGTAACTCAAGACTTTATAATTAATAAACAGTGATATTTTTTGTTCCGTTGCAATTGAGAGGTTTTGATTTCCAGCCCATAATATGCCAGTAAAATGAAGAGATGAAAAAAATTATTTTTTATTATACAATCAAGATTTATATATATACTCTTTAAACAATGCCAAAGATTTCTGGGCAGGAAGAAGGGTGAATAGCTCATATGTGTTGAATTCTTTTACTTCTCCTGCTACTACTTCAGCCTCAGGAAGAATATATTCTAAACACACAACCATTTAAAGACAATATTGGACATGAGTGCAATTCAATCTACATCCAAATGATCCGCATGAAATGAAAATAAACCAGTAGTAGAAAAAAATATCATGTAATCAGCAAAAATCAAGGAATTTATATATATATATATATATATATATCCCCTTAAAACATGATTATTTATAGTTTGTTACACCAACAATGATGAATGCT